ATCACTGTCAAGATTCAACATTTGTTGGGCATGAAGGGCAATAGAAGCACACCCTGATGTTTTGAATATGAATGTTGGAAGAGTGGCTGGAGGTGTGGGGTTTTTTATTTATATACTGGGAGAATATGATAAAATGTTTATTAACTTGATAATGTTAATTTTTTTGTCAAATCTTCAATATTTTTGCTTCCATAGAAACGAGGCATGCCTGTTGGTTTTCTTAACTTTAACATAGATATTCAAAGAATCCTTTTGGCAAAAGGAAGGATAACAATCATCCTATTGCTTCTCCTGGAGCAAATGGAGCTCCTCAAGCTTTAACCTACCAGTAGCTTGAACCTTGAAGGGGATGTTCTCTGTTCTTTTTGCACCAGTAGGATGCATCTTGCAGCCATTGGCATTCATCCATTTCATTGTCAACATCAAGCATTGGCATCTCTTTTCATGTGATGAATGCACATAGTGGTGTCATGAACATACCATTTGCTCATGTTATACTATTATACTTAAGACATGCATTCGTCATGGCATGTGTTATATCTGGATAACTTGCTAGTTTTCAAATGTTTTTACCATTTTTAGAATGGTGCATGGTTGGCAGTTTTGTCTGGTTTATTTGCTGTGCCACCTTTATGGACTGTAACATCGACCGTAACATCTTTGACATGCTATTTATTACTAGGCTCAAACACATGTCACAGCATGGCATCTTGAGGTGATCCAATTACATTGCATCACTGACCTTTAATCCAAAGGTTATTCTCAGCTTCATATCATGGCACTAATACTATGATTAGAGTAACCTAGGATATCATGCCATTGTCACATGCTTCCTGTGGGGTTACCATGACCACCATGATCACCATTGTGAAAGCCTATTTTAAAATTGAACCAATCATCCTTCCAATCTAGCAGAGAACTAATGGTTATGTTTACATTCAGACTCTTCAAAGCATAACAGTAGGGAAATTTTCAGAAATATGTCACTGATTTATATGCAGGATGGTTTGGATTCCATTTGTTCGAGAAGGCAAGGGTGCTCCAGCTGAGTTTTTGTCTCAGGTAAGCTTTACTAGAAAAGAATGCTTGTCAAAACCCCCTATTTGGTTGGTCAGTTTGACACCTGCTAACTTGGCAGAGACTAGGCATTGATGAGGATGCTGTTTCTGCCTGTTTCGAACTTGACTCTTAACCATTATCCGTGTGTTTTTGGGGTCATAAATTTTTTGAGGAGCTCTCAGGTCTTGCAAGTGATATTTGATGCAGAAATTCTAAGTGTAGGGGGCCTCCGATGTGTTTTTTCGCTAACTAAAATGTCAAGTGGTGGCTAGTGGTTTTTAATTCTTGCTCATCGTCATAGCGTTATCCCCCAAACAGCCAAATTGGCTATTTTTATGCTTGGCAATGCAGTAGATTATTGTTGTGTATTGGAAGAGAGGGCTGGTAAGATGGACTCCATCAGACAATAGAACATACCTGGTCTTTGGATAGCGTACATGGTTGGTCCACTCTTTTAATATGAAGCAATCATCTCTTCCTTGGTAGTAGTGAAATGGAAGGATGAAGTTATGACATCTTTCTAGCCCGTGTGTGGGGTTATGTGTCAGCATCAAAGGACGTTAGTTTGCACCCTGCCTAGTGTGAAACGGTTGACTTATTTGCATACAATGCAATTGTTTATTTGTGATCGCGGTTTGGAACTTTTATGATGAGTTGTTGAACCACTGACGGCAAATTATAGCAATTGAATTCTGACTCATTTGTGCAATAATGAGAACAGTAAAGAAAAAGCTTTTTGCAGCCGTTTCTGCAATCTGTGTTCCACATATCATTTAAAATTATTAGAATATGGTGGGTGCTTGGACATTCCAAAGAGACGGGTTATATATATATATATATATATATATATGGGAGAAAGAGTATATCAATCTTGGTTGCTAAAATAAATTAAAATTTTAATATTAAATTATTATTTTATTTAATTA